AAGATTTCTATCAGTTCATCTGGCACCTTTCTGTGAATTAGAAAAAGACAAATCATCTGGGAAAGATTAGCAAAATGCCCCTCTTTCAGGGCCTGTGGGCCTAGAGCTTGCTAAACAGAGCTCCCTGCTCTGCCAGGCACTCTAGTACATGAACGACAACATGTGGGATGCCCTGATAACCAAACGGGATACAGGCACACCTCAGAGATTTTGTGGGTTCAGTTCCAGACCACTGCAATAAAGCGATTATTGCAATAAAGTATGTCACACAGATTTTTTTGGTTTCCCAGTATGTATAAATGTTTACGTTGAAGTCTGTTAAAGTGTGCGACAGCATTATGAAAATGTCTGAAATATTGTGAGAAGTACCAAAATGTGACACAGGGACACGAAGTGAGCACATCCTGTGGGGAAAATGGAAAAACCAATTGTGGTAAAGTTTGTGTGTCAACTTGGTTAGGACTGGTTGAGTAGCTGGGCAGCTGGATGTAGTTATTCTCCATGGTAAGATTGGTAATTATCTCTATGATGGAATGTATTGGAGAAGCTGAGTAGCTGTTTTAGGGATATGTTCTGCTTCCCATATATAAGAAACAGCTTTGGGAATGGTCTCTAGCTTATGGCACGCTTGAACAGGTAGCCATGTCGTTGTCCAGCAAACTGCCATGCTCTGCTGACCTTGGGACTTTCAACAGACTTGAATTAATGGCCTGCCATGTGCTTTGGTAACATCGGGACTGTGCCATTTTATTTGTTAACCTTGGCCTTGATAGCCTCAGGAGGCAATAGCTGCCTGAGTGAAGAGAAGCCTCTAGCTTCAGTGGGCCGGGAGCAAGAGGCAGAGCTGAAGCCCAAGGTCGAGGGGCTTTCACCCAGCCCCTAGAGCCTGGCACTTGTACTCAGACTTCCAGCCTCCCAAACTGTAAGAGAATAAACTCCTATTTGTTCAAGTCATCCCATTTGTGGTATATTCCTGTCAGAGTGGCACTAGGTAACCAGAACACCAATACACTTGCTTGATGCAAGATTCACACAAATCTTCAATTTGTAAAAAAAAAAAAATGCCGTATCTGTGGAGCACAATAAAGTGAAACACAATAAAATGAGGTATGTCTGTATTTACTGGGGAATAAGTCATCCTGCAAGTAAATAAGCAAAATAGCATGTGAGTGATTTGGGGGTCAAACCACTTTTATTTTAAATCCTGCCTCCCGCAACTTACTGTTTGTTACCCCAGGTAAATTGCTTAACTACGTAAGTTTCCTCCTGGTCATAATAGTAGCTATCTCAAAGGAGTATTGTGAAAAATAAATCACAGAAGGTTCATAAGCACAGTGTTTGCCACATAGAAGACACTCAATAAAAGATTTCTATCCAATTAAATATTACATAATTATGTGTGTGTGCTAATTTTTAAATACTTCAAAAAATTATTTCCTTAAAAAAACACTGTCAAGAATGGGATTACTGTGTTAAAATGTATCAACAAAGTTCTAAATTTGAACTCTTACCTCTTCATGTAAATCCAATACGTATACAGGTGGTGAAGAGTCAGGTGACTATTCATGAAATATCATTTCATTAAACTAATAATCTCAGCAAAAAAAAGAGAAAAACTCTTATTTAGGGGATCTAAGGAAGAAAGAGTAATGTATTTAACATATTAAAGGAAAGGTGGGCTTTTGTTTCTTCACCATAGTTAAAAAGGCTGTCAGGATGACCTTCAAGGTCTTTTCTAACTTTGTAAGTCTGTGATATTGTCTCTTCATTACATAGCCTCATGGTATAGTGCCTAAGGCATTTGACTGCTAACCAGAAGGTTGGAGGTTCAAACCCACCAGCCTCCATGGAAGGAAGAAAGGGCAATCTACTTCTGTAAGATTTGCTGCCTCGGAAACCCAACGGGGGTCACCATGAGTTGGAATCAACTCAATGGAAGTGAGTTTGGTTTTTGTTCCATCTCCATCACAAACCCTCTATTCTTGAAAGGCCAGGTTCCTACTTCTTTCCCAAACATACTTGATCTCTGATATAAAGTGCTGCTCAGGCTTTCACTATATCACCACCTGGAACAGCCTTTGCTCACTCTGATGACCAATTCTGGCCACCACCCAGAGCCCTAGTCTGAATTCCAGCCTTTCTGCCAGGCCCTACATTAGTGCTCCATCCCTTTAAAGACTTGGGGGATTCATTTATTATCTAGGTCACTTCTTATTCAAATCTAATGGCATTAGCGTGCTTAAAAGTTAAAAATATCTTTTCTTGCATCTGAAATAATGCTGCCTTTGTCTTCATAGATGTAATGTGCACTATGTTCATATACCAAACCAAACCAAAATCACTGCCATCAAGTCAATTTGGACTCATAGCAATTCCCTTAGGGTTCTGAAGGCTGTCAATCTTTATGGAAGCAGACTGCCTCATCTTTTTCCTGTGCAGCAGCTGGTGGGTTTGAACCAATGACCTTGTGGTTAGCAGTCAAATATCTTAACCACTTCACCACCAGAGCTCCTTATGTTCATATACAGCATCATATAACTGAGCTAGATCTGCAGCCACAATAACAGAAATCTTTCTCAATTGAGTGCACACCAGACTGTAAGCCTAGAAGTAAGCACAATCCCAAGTTTCTACTGCATCAATATCAACATTTTTTACATCTGACCAAGCTGACAAATTCATGAAAATTCAAAATCCAATAGCTGATTTAATTTAAGGTGGGTGTGATATTATAAAATGCTGAGTAGCCAATTTTAAATAGAAAATAAAGTCTCAATTCAAAGAGAAGAGTATGTCAACACTGGAATTTTGTTTTAAAACCTTGTGTTTTCAAACAGAGTATTTTTCCTTTTTGCTTTAATCAAGCACCATTTATGAAGTTTTTTAAATTTTTTGAAACCTTGCTTTGTCATTTAAATTTATCTAATCCATTTTGTCAAAGGGTATAGGATAAGATTACTGTGTCTACAGAATTATTTTGAGATTAGGATGAGGGAGGTAAAATCTGTATTTGAAATTAGAAGGAGGTATATGCTAATTAAAGATACCAGAACAAAAAATCTCTATAAAATATGAATATCCTTTTTCGCTTTCCCCCAAAAAATGTAATATTACTAAAAATGCAATATACCTTAGAGGTTCAAATTCTTAAAACAAGGAATCATAATATGATAACAGAGCACACTGGAGTTTAAAAGGCAGAGTGGGCTTTATCCCAATAGAGGGTGATGGCACTAAGCCATGACATATCATATTATAACATGGGAGGCAATTGTAATACCCTGCCACCATGCACTCTGAGCTCTCTTGGGTGTCATTTTCACCCATGACTTACGAGATTTTCCAGCTTGAAGCCTCAACATCAGTGTGTAAACTGAAGCTGCTCCAGAGGCAACAGAGGAAGCAGCAGCTCTGGTGGCATTTGAACTGAAGATACTCAGGCAGAGAAACCAATCTGGTGGTGGTGTAAGAGATGAATCAAACAGGAAGAAGAGTCCACAGGAAGAAAGAGGACAAAGAGGAGGAAGAAAAGACAGTAAGAAATGAGATGGCAGAATGAAAATAGAAGGGGGGGGAGCCAAAAAGTGAAGTAAGTATGGAGAGTAGAAAAGGGAGACAAAAAGGAGGAGGAAAAGAAAAAAATGTGAAAATCTTTGGGTATATGAAAAGCAACATGTATCAAATGCCTGTACTTCTGATTCCTGTTTTTATGTCACAGATCTGTCATACGGCCAAATACAGAATTAGAATCCAGGCACAAAGCCATGAACTACAGAACTGGAGTATCACTGACATGCATGCATTGTTTAAAAAAAAAATAAACTTCAAGTCAGCAACTAGCATGAAAGTTACTGCCATATTGACTCTCTCAAGTTATTAGAAACCACAAAGCAGAGTTGAAAGAAATTCAAATGTTTCATTCCTGAGTTTGAAACTGTTCAAACACAAAAGAACGTGGTGTTGGTTTCTTAGTCGGTCATCTTCAAGCACACCTGCCAACGAGAAATGTCATATAGTTCTGTGTTGTTCAGGATAGCTTTTCCATCTTCTTCTGTGTTCAGACTTTTGGTCTTTCTTTCCAGTTTAAATTGAATTGTATCAGGATCCACCTTAAGCTAACTGTGAGCAGATCAAGCTGGCCTATGTTGTTCCTGTACCCCAGCACTCAGGATTATACCCCTCTTTGGACCTGGAATGCCTTCCAATATTTTCCTGAGTCTTCCATTCTACTAGAAATAATACAGTTTCAATAACTCAAAAATAGACATAAATGATTAGTGACTAGATAAATGAAACTGTGAAGGCAGTAACTTGCAAGTATATGATACTTTCCAGGTAAGAAATTATGGAAAACCAAATTAAAACGTATTTTGTAAATTGAGTCCTTTTCATATAATTAGAGTTGTACTAGAGGTGGAAACTTCCATTTGAGTACCACAGTAATCAGCACTCATTCTCCCTTAGCATGGTGCTTTTTCAGAGAGCAGAGACTAGAGAGGGAGTCCTTAGGAGAAAACAAAGGTTTATAACTAAAGCATATCGACAAAGCAACACTGCTTAAAGGCATCTTGTTAATACAATTATCGATTCAGCATCTTGCACCTAACACAAAATGCATGTCCCAAGATATCAACATGATACAGCACACACACCTGAGCTTCTATGGGAGGGAGGGAGGGAAGGAGAAGGGCATGAATGGCAACAAGGGTCTCTTAAGGTCCTCAAGTATCAAAGTGCTGCCTCTGCCCAGGAAATTACAGTGCCAACTTATCTGCCCATGGGGACTGTTTGTGGAATCATTTAGCAGCAGATCTTTTCCACCTCCTACGCTGAATGAAAGTCTGGTATTTTCAGAAGCAGTTAAAACTTTTAGAGTAGATTCAAATGATGATCCCATGAATGTCATTGTTTTGGAATCACCAAAAATGAAAGTGCTATATGGTAAGAGACGTCCATGAAGTGTATCCTACCAAATTTGCTTCCTGATTAAAGGAACTTACCGTAGTGCAGAATGTCTTCCAGAGCGGGACACGCTATTGCCCACCGGTGAGGGCAGGTTGCTCCCTCTGTGCAGGTCCTCGATGGACCTACTCCAGGGCTTTGATTTGTCCATAGAGCTCTCCACAGTGCTTTCCACACTTTCAAAGTCAAAACTAAAACAAAACACAAACACCACTGAAGACTTAAATATTCACATCCACACAAATGTACAGGTGTACACGACTTAACACAGGGAATCTGCAGAAAAAGACAATGGAAAAGGAAATACTCAAAAATTTCCAAAGATTTAGTGCTAGCTTCAAAAACACAGAATTACAAGCATCAGACCTGGCAAAAGAAGAACTGAATAAAAGCAAAAATTAAATAGTGATAGATTATTTGTATCCTACCATAAGGCATGCTAACTTACCAATTGCTAACATTTCTATAATGGAAGGGGAAAAAAGAGATCCGACAGCTGTCTTCATTCTGCTTTAACAAGTCAATGTGGTAGGCTTATGCTAATTTATTCCTATGCATCAATTTTCAGTGAACATTTTCTCCTAGTGTGTTGGCAAGTGTACTCTTCCAACCATATGTCATACATTACTATCGAAGCTATGGATTTGCTTTGATTTTGGAATCTCTCACCAGTGTGGTACTCTTTAAAGTAAGGTGATTGTTTCTCTGGCATTTTTTGAGGTTATGACTCATGTTAACAATGTTAGAATAAATGGTAAGTTAGGTTGCTCATTCCTGTATAATTTTAGGAACAAAGTTTTCAAACAGACAGGCTTTTGTGTTCCATGCATTTTTTTTTTCTTTTCCTAAAGTCAATAACTCTGCTCTCTCAAACAAACAAATATTTTATTCATTGTTCCTATCTATGGTTTCACCAAACACCACCTGATCAGACAGTACAGCAAACAGAGGCAGCTTTCAGATAGCTATAATTCACGCCTCAGGAAAATTTTAGGTCATACTGCAAGAGGAAATGCCATAAACATTGTAAATAAAACATGTGATTGCCAAAATAAAGTATTTTTAAAGAGTGGTCAGTTATCTGAAAACTAGGTAATGCTCTCCATCTATTAAATGGTAATCTAGACAGCAGATTGATATAAAAAGTCAGTGTATGGTCTGAACACAGACACTTTTGTTATCCCTTTCAATTCAGGTGGCAGTGCTGAACAGAACAGAGGTAGAAATGGGTAATCAAGTATAGCCTGAAATACAGAAAATAGAAACCTATGACTGAGATTGGAGATGGTAAGCCAAGGTGACATCCTGAACAAAAGGATCCCTCATATCTGTTAGATATATGTATTTTTTAAAACTTTTTATTGTGATTTGAGTGCAATTTTACACAGTAGATTCATTTTCCATTCAACAAGTCAAACATATTTTGTTTCGTGACACTGATTATAACCCCCACAATGTAACAGCTCTCTTCCCACTTCCTCCCTTTCCCTGTGTTCTTCTTACCTATGCATTCCTGCCTCCCTAGCTTTCTTCCTACTCAAATGCTGCCCCTTCTGATCTCCCGTGGCTGGCTGTTGTAAGGAGTACATCTCCCTGATGTAATTGTTCTGCTCACAGGCCTGTCTATTGCTTGACTAAAAGTTAAACCATGGGAGTGAGTCCAATTCCAGACTAGGGGCCACAGTCTCAGGATTTTCACCAGTCTCTACCCAACAAGTAATCCTAGTCTTTTTTTGTTTTTGAATTTTCTTCCTTTTCTCCCACTCTATCGAGGATCTCTAATTTTGATCCCTTTCCAAGAGATTGGCATTGGTAGCTGGGCACCATCTAATACTTCTGGTCTCAGGGTTGTGTAGACTGAGGTTGCCATGGTCCATTAGTACCCTGGACTACCGGTTTCCATTATGTATCATATCTCATGTTTCCCTTAGCTTGTTCTTTCTTCTCATGTAGAAGGAAAATATAAAGTCCTACCATAAGAAATGTTTTTGTTTTAGGTATAGAGCACAGCCATTGTTTCACATTCCAAGGGCTAGGAAATTGTCAAATGCTGAACAAGAGTAGGGAAAGTTTTCTGCAGATTAGTTTCAATAAAGGAGTTACATATTCATTTAATTTATCTAATTCAAGTAAGGGAGCTCTGGTAGCATAGTGCCTAAGGCACTTGACTGCTAACCAGAAGGCTGGCGGTTCAAACCCACCAGCCACTCCTCGGAATGAAGGTTGGGCAATCTACTTCCATAGTGATACTGCCTCGGCCACCCAAGGAGGGGTCGCTATGAGTCGGGTCCGACTCGATGGCACATAACAACAACAACAACAATTCAAGTAAAACAAAAGCAAAACTTACAAGCTAAGAGTGGATATATAATGTAGGGCTAATGACAAAAACAAAACAAAAAAACAAGAAAGGTACAAGTTTAGGAAACAGTTCTGATCTTTTGGTTACTAGCATCTTACACTTTGAAGTAGAAGAGTCCCCTCTCAGCAGTGCTACCTTTCCCGAATGATCCCATGTGACGGTACTTTGGGAAAGATGGTTTCTAACTTCTATTATGATGCAGGTAAAGGGTTAATCAAAATAAACATACAATATATAGCATGTCATTCTTTTCTATTATTCCTAAAGTTAATTCTTTTCCTTAATTATTCCCTTCCTTAATTCCGTAAGTATTACTTTAGATTTTATCATATGCAGTTGTTGTTGTTGTTGTTGTTATGTGCTGTCGAGTCGGCCCCGACTCATAGCGACCCCTCCTTGGGTTTCCGAGGCAGTATCACTACGGAAGTAGATTGCCCCATCTTCCTTCCGAGGAGTGGCTGGTGGGTTTGAACCGCCAGCCTTCTGGTTAGCAGTCAAGTGCCTTAGCCACTATGCTACCAGAGCTCCCATCATATGCAGTAGGGTAATATTATTCTGTTTTGCCCTATATAATACAAAGTATAAAGGAGATTAACAGTTTTTAATGTAATGGAGATAGATAAGAAGCATCCTTTGGAAGATCATGCTATAAAAACTAGGATTATATTTCAGAGAACAATTTCTCAGGAAGAACTCGTTTGTTAGATTTTCTTAGTCTATCTCATATTACCTAAGACAGGCATCAAAGCTGAAATTCATCAAGCCAGTTTCAGTTAGTACTTTAGTTTCTCCATCCATTAGGCAGGAGTAATTATTGCTTTCACCTCCAAATTCTCAAGGAAGTTGTAAGTATTACTAAGATAACATCTGCTTAAGTCTGGGAACCTTTTGTAGTAAGTCATTATAAAAAACAAGTTATTGTTTATAGAAGATATGAGGGGTAAAAATTCGACCTACACTGAAATGCCTGTTAGTGAAATGAAATGTACAATATTAGTTCATTAATCTATAAGAGTATATCTGGATATACTGAATATTGGAATGGTTTTTGATCAAAGGATGACATGTAGAGAAGAAAATTCTCATTCAAATGTACACTTTCCAGTCCTGTTATAAATCCAGAAGCCTAGCATGGTAGGATTTTATGAAATAATCAAAGCAAGGTTAAATAAAGTTGGGTTTGTTTTTTCTGTTCCATCTCAGTTTTGTGGGAAAAAGCCAAAGCAATACAAATATGCATAAAATGAAAAGTATTTTGTTTACTGCTTTCTCTGGTCTCACTATGTTTAGCATCTACTTTTGTAATCATTGCTATGCATTTACTAGCATATAGAAATACAGACACACACATATATATCATTTTTTTAAATGATAAAAGGCAGTATTCTGCATTTTCTTTTATTCACTTAATATATCATAAACATCTTTCAATAAGTGGCACAGTAGTCTATCATATGAATATATGTAACTTAAGCTCTAATGTACTTCTTTTTAAAATAAGTACTTCTCTGAGAGTTATTTGTAATCACCTGTTTTATTTCTGTCTTAAAAACATTTCTAATAGCAATTATGTGATTTGGTTTTAGTTATGTAAACAGAAACAAACCTCTTTAAACATTACCCCATCTGCTTTTGGGTTTCTTTCCCCAGCGCAGGGTATAATTTTACCACTGAGTTGCATCTTCTGTGACCACATACAATTTAAAAGCAAATGAGCCAAGTTTTACTTACGTTACTGCGTACTGTGCAAATGACAGATATTCCACCAGAACATCAAGACCTTTATTTTCTTCATTCAAAAACTCTCTTACCCACCTGTTAGAAAAAGAAAAATAAATCATTAGACAGGTTCACCTCATGCCCTGCCATGAAAAGAATACAGAGGAAAAATTTGTGTTTCAACCAGTAATATTCAATATGGAGTAAGGCCTAGATTATTTCACTTGGGGTAGGAGCATTTCAATATGGCAACTAACAAAACTACAACATTTCAGCATGCAAGAATAAACAGAAGGAAAAATGTGTACATGTGCCATCCTCTCAGTTTACCGCCTGGAGACTTAACATAATCTATACTAAGTTTTCTGAGAAAGGAACTTGTTAAATGTACTTCTTCCACCACTATTGATCCACAGTCTGCTTGTTGAAGGAGTCAAGATTACACAAGGAATGAGGCAGAGTGGGGACATGACAACATACCCACTGAAATCCAGGCATGATTCCAAATCCACATTCATCTCCTTCTTGGCACACTAAGTGGTAGAAACCACGAAATTAGTCAGTGAGAAACTAGTGTTTTTATGGGCTTCTAGAAATTTGATAGGTATAATAATTTGCTTAATTTTTTCCATGAATGTTAAAATCTTCTTAAAAGCTGCAGGCATCACATATTAACACCAAGGCCAAGATACAACATGTATCTTTTTTCAGAATTCATTTTTTAAAAATATCATCTTGCATTTGAATGGTGCTTAATAGCTGACTGAGAATTTTTGCACATTTTATTTGCTCCTCATGACAATTCAGATAAATAAAGTACACTGGTCAACGAGCAACTTTCAGTACTGAGAATAAATACCTGTTATTATATTTTTAAGATTCCTCCCATGGACTCATCTGCAAAGAACTTGTGGTGTCTGATTAAACTTTCTCAGCATTTGAAATGCCAATGAATAAATAAATTTTAAAAAAAAAGGCTACTGCTATTTACTGAATGATACTTGGGGTACTACTGCCCACTGTATTCCAAAATGATTGCCTCCCTCCTTGAACACCAAGCCAAAAAAGTTATAGTAGCTATGGATATTACACTATGGATGCCAGTTTTGCTAGCTATTAAAACAATAGTAAGATAATCCTAGAAATACATGTGTGCCGTTGTTGTTGTTGTTGTTGTTGTTACGTGCCGTCAAGTCAGATCTGACTCATAGCGACCCCTCCTTGGGTTCCCGAGGCAGTATCACTACGGAAGTAGATTGCCCAACCTTTCTTCCGAGGAGTGACTGGTGGGTTTGAACCGCCAGCCTTCTGGTTAGCAGTCAAGTGCCTTAGGGACTATGCTACCAGAGCTTCCATGTGTGCTGTAAGGATTAGCAATTCCTTGAAGTCTTTTATTTTAAAGGAAGATGAATTCGTGGATTCAGGATATGGTTTTGATTTTGCTTGGGGGTAGGAGGGGTGTTTGTGTGTTTTCTGTTTTCTTCTCAGTTTCAATCTTTCTTCTAGTTCTGTCATCTCCATGATATAAATTCAGGTCTGCAGATAGTTTCAGGAAGCAGAAAGTGGGAAAAAGAGCTCACCTAATAGCTTCCGTACAGTGCCTTAGGCAGTATGCCACAAAATGTATGTGCCAAACATAGCCACATGTAAGCACTGGTATTTAGTTTAAAGGAGACCTAGAGTAGCAACACTGACAAAGAAAACACCACCAGTTAGGTCTCACAAAGTAGCTTTGTTACGAGATATAAGCAAAACTAAAGGGGTTAGCTACTGGTTGAGACTTAAGTAGACCTTTCAAAACAACTACATACATGATCTCACCACATCTGCTTCTAGATGTTTATTTTTATTTGAGTTATTTTAATTATTCCCTATGCTACCAGGTCCCAGGAGACATTTTTAAATGCTGTTAATTAGAAGCACAGAAATACAGAAATAGTAAAAGACTTTTTTTTTTTTTTTTAAACTAGCTGGAAACAAGAAAGGCTAGAAAGTACTATCAAAATCAAATAACAAGTCACTGTTTAAATTTAAGTTCCTTAGCTTCTCTTAGGCTTTTCCATCACTTTGGTCTATGGATACTGATTACATGCTTTAAATTAGCCCCTGCTTATAGGTGTGCAACACACACACACACACACACACACAAACCCCACAAATACTAAAGCTGGACATAGAAGTCATCTCTTTAACATAAGTAACGACAGGATATAGATTCTTCTGGGCAGTCACAGTTTTAGATATTCTGTTCCAGTGGCCTGTAATACTCTAATTTGGGAATTGAGAAAAATAGTCATTGTACATCCTTCTGGTTGATATTCCAGAAACTGATTTTATAGAGTACAGATGGTACCCTCAGGACCTCCCATTGTCTAAACCATTGGCACCTCCATCCCACTTAGAAAGTCCACCATAATTGGCCAGGAGGCAAATGACCAACAGCTGAGAAAATTAAAAAAAAAAGTATGAAAAAGTCAAGTGTAACCAGAACTACTCTCTCTTGATTCAAAACAGTAGTATGCATGCATCTAGACACAGGGATACAGAGTGATGATTGGTTTTTCTTACTGTAATTCAGTACCCACCAATGCCCTGCCTCCACTTGTTGATTCTGAGTGAAAATGTATTAAAAGTAATTTTCAAAACAAAAAGCATGGTCCTGCTCAATCCCTAAAATGTCAGTTATAATGTAACATGTCCCTGACTCTCGTTTAACATCATGCAGTTAACCTCTTTTTCTAAGATACAAGATCCTCATTGGGTCTTTGGCTTAGCTCTGATACTCCTAGGAGATTTAGGAAAGAATAAGATATAAATCCTTCTAGATTGGCTACCATACCCACTTTGTCAAGTACTATCAGGTTAGCAAATCATTTCAGCACTAAGGCTGTGGATTGTGAGGAAAAAGATAACCTTCACTCTTTCCCAAGTCCACATCTCTTCCCACCTTGGGGTATTCTGTATGGGAAAGAACAGAATTAAGAAAAGAAAAGAACATGGAAAGAAAATAGGTAGAGATGAAAAGAGAGCAACTTTCAAAGCAGTATCTTGTGTCTACTAAGGATTCCTCAATCCGCAGATTTTTATGTGTGTGTGTGTACGCATACACACACATATATAAACCAAAAACAAACTCACTGCCATTGAGTCGATTTCAACTCATAGTGACCCCTCCTTGGGTCTCCGAGATGGGATCTCTACAGAAGTATATTGCCCAATCTTTCTTCTGAGGAGTGGCTGGTGCCTTAGGCACTACACCACCAGAGCTCCCTATACATAGATACATATACATGCATACATATATATGTGTGTGTATGTATGTATAAACCAACTGCCATTGAATCAATTCCAACTCATAGCAACCCCTTTGGGTTTCTGAGGCAATCAATCTTTACAGAAGGAGATTGCCCAGTCTTCCTTCCACAAAGTGGCTGGTGGGTATGAACTGCCAGCCTTCTGGTTAGTAGTCAAATACGTTAGGCACTAAGTCACAAGAGTGTGTGTGTGTGTGTGTGTGTGTATACACATATATATACACACACACACATATACATATATATACACATATTTATATATTGTTGCTGTTATATGCCATCGAGTCGCACCCGACTCATAGCGACCCCTCCTTGGGTTTCCAAGGCGGTATCACTATGGAAGTAGATTGCCCAACCTTTCTTGTGAGGAGTAGCTGGTGGGTTTGAACCTCCAGTCTTCTGGTTAGCAGTCAAGTGCCTTAGGCAGTATGCTACCAGAGCTCCTATATATATATATATGATCATGCAATAACTATATCATAAATTTAGATTTCCTATGAGTTGGATCCAACTCAACGGCAGTGAGGTTGTTTTTTTTTTAATATTAAATCACTTCTATTTTCAATTTTATGCATGACACACAATTTTCTACACATTTCCAATCTGAAAACAGTTTTGAATTGAGTGAGCATAGGTTATGGAGAACAGAATTATTTCTGGCTCTGACTGCATGCATTTTTCCTGAGTACCTCACAAATTCAATATAAGTACCATATGCTGTAAATATGAATTTAGGCAAATACCAAATCAGCTACTTTGGAGCTAAAAGAGACAGGGATAATGAGAAAACAGCTCTGAAAAAAACTGGCTTCAGGAAAGGGATCTAAGTGCAGATGCCAACAGTCACTGTTTTGCTGTAGATTGGTCAAAGTTTTGTTTCAGAGTTATTTCTCTCTTCACTCCCCCAAGAAAAATTTTTAGAAACTCATTGAACTCATCTGGAAAAGTTTGGCTTCTAAGAAAGCAAACGTGCCCCAAGACACACAAGAGAAAGGGACAAACAAATGATTTCATTTGTTTGCCAGTCTCCTTTAGAGAGCCTCTGTAGATACATAGTGAGAACATAAAGTTGTTGAAAAATCTTAACAAGAGAAGGAAGATAAGTAATATTCAGATTCACCACTAGTTACCAAATCTGCTTTGTGAGGCAATGTCACAAACTAGTTCTCAAAGTGTAGCCCACACATCACGAGGGGCCCCCAAGACCTTCTATGAGGGTGAGGTTAAAACTATTTTCATAAAAATATTAAGATAATAATTGTTTTTTACACTTTGTTGACATTCACACTGATCGTACAAATAGAATAGTGCATAAAACTGATGCCACCAAAGAATACAATTATTTATTATATTCTTCACTCTGAGCACTCAGCAGTGTAAAGGCCATCTTTATTTAAGAATGCTCTACTGAAGTAATAAAAATTGCTTTTATTAAAGTTTGCTCCATGAGTATGCACATTATTTTTAATTTTCTGTAGGACACAATGGCAAGTCCACACAGAGCATTTCTGTTGCTCACTGAATAAAAATCATTTGTACAATTGTTTGAGTTGAAAGCTAAACTGCCACTTTTTTTCATGGAATGTCACTTTACTTGGAAAAAAAGCTGAAAAAATATTTGTATTCAGTTTTGGGTATTTAGCAGACATTTTCTTCAAAATTTGATGAAGTGAGAAGATCAAGAGTTTGTTTTACATTCAACATTATGTGTACATTTAGTTTCACTCACCATTTACCATGCCCAACCCTAACGTAGTCTTCTCCCCTCCCTGTCCAGTAACC